CCCAGGCAGAGCGAGGGAGGAGGAGTGCCGTGCTCCCGAGGAGAGCTCAAGGTGCCCGAGCCAGCCCTGCCCGCTGGCACGTCGTGCGCCAGGACGGCCGGAGCGGGTGGTGGGCTTCTTGCCTCGAGTCCTCTTGATGTAGCTCAGCAAGAGGGGGTGGAGACCAGGATAGCTTGAGACGTGGGCCCGGGCCCCCAGCCCGAGGGTTTGATCAGGCCGCCGGAGCTGGCCCATTACATTTCACAGTGGGTACGTTTGGTCTGTTGCTCACAGGGGCGCTGCGGGGTTTCGGAGCAGCCTGCAGAGCGCGGTGCTGGTACCGGTGCTGGTACCGGTGCTGCCGCCCGTGCCCTGCTGCGCCCGGCCGATCCCGCCCGTGCCCACTGAAGCAGGTGGTACCTCCCCGTGCAGCCCCTGGCCCTCTGCTCGCGCTGAGCTCAGCCTAGCTCACCGGACTCATACAATGCAGGCTTGAGTAGCCACATAAAAACCATTAAACCCGAAGCAATTTATAGCCAGTCTACGGGGCCACAAGCACGCTGGGTTGCCAGCACTTGCCTCAGCGGAGACGAGCAAAATAGCAAAAGTCACTCTCATATCTTAATTTCTGGTGGCTTTGTCTGTCAGGCCCCTGCGACGCCGCCTCTGCCGTACTGAGGCTTTACTGGGAGCGTTCGTTTCAACGGTTCGTCTGTTGGAGTTTAAATAATGGTTATTATTTGTATGCTAATAAGCTTTATACAGAAATTCATTACAGGTAGCTATAATTAGCTCGGGGCCCGTTCAGAGCTGGCGTGGTGCGTTTCCGCGGGGGAGGGCAGGGGGGTGTCCGTGTGTCTGCATGCCTGTAGACGCTCTCCCGCAGCGCCGGGGCCCCTCGCAGGGCTGCGCCGCGCCGGTGCTGGGTTTTACGCAATATGCGGGGTGGCGACCGCCGTAAAAGACGCGGTGCTTTCTGCAGTTTGCCAGCTTTCCCCCGGCGCTTGCCGGTGCTTTTCAGACGCTGCCATGCCCTGACAGCCTCACAGCCCCGTGTTTAGAAAATAAAGACCGGGCTGCATTCCTGGCAAATGACTCCGTGTGCAATGGAGAGAAGGAGGAAGGGCCCGGCTGAGTAGCACAAACACCAGATTCATCCGACTGACACTGCTGGCTTTATTTAAGTTTGTCACATAAGCCGTAGGTGGGAATCTGCTTTTGGACGAGTAAGCCAGCTTTTGAAGTTGGCTTGCGCATCAGCTGCGTTTAGCGCTGCCAGGCTTTGTGGGTTTGCGCTATCACACTTAGCGTGCTGACGGCGCGTCCTGGAGCCGCAGCCTGGTAAAACCGCCTTGGGTGGATCCTCGAGCCTGTATCTAGAAGGTACATTACATCTGCGTTGGTACTTGCAGATCAGCGCTAGGACGCGGCATTGAGCTTTTAATGTCTGCAGTTTGGGGATAATTTTGAAAACCTGGAGAATGCAGGAAGGATTAGAGAACTTGTACCAGGAAATTCAAGTTACACGGCGTAGCAAGGAGAAAATTTGGGACCAGAGTTTACAAATGCAAGTATGGAAGAAAGTTGGTTAAGGACTGGTGTCTGAGCTAGCAGACCAGGATATAATAAGGTTCAGTAACTAAGGGGTGTACAAAGCCTCGGTTAAGGAGTTGCAGCAATTAATTAGCTTACCACATAGAAAAACATCTTTGACTTATGTCTAATCAGAAACAGGACTCTAGCAGTGGAAATGTCTAAATGGGAGAGGCAGGAACCCAGCCCTTCAGATGGCTCTGAGCCGTGTCAGTGCCCAGATGAGAAGATTGAAGCGTTGCTGTCCTGCAGAAACGCGCCCTGGAGGCCTGGGGCTCACCAGGGGTGTCCGGTAAAGTCTGATGCTTATTCCCTATTCACTTAACCCTTGGAAGCCTTCAAGCGTTAAGCGAATAACGAGGTTGGCTGGATCTCGGGGAAGGGAAGCAGCGGAGGCAGGAACTGCCGCGAGCAGGGGGGGAAGCCGGGGGAGAGGACAGGTAGTGCCACTGGCTGGGATGAACCTCGGAGCAGCAGCAGCCCTGGACTGCAGGGATCGCCCCTTCGTGCTGCTACTCTCGCTTCTGAAGAGCGGCACTGCAGAGGTTCTCCCTGAGAAAGCTTGTCATTCCCCAGCAGCGCCACCTCTGCCATCAGCAACGATATCAAGTTTGTCATCACGGGGTCCAGCATCAGCCCCTCTTCCTGGCACCAGGAAGGCTGTGCTGGGGCAAGCAGGGAACTGCCTCTTCCTGGGACTCCTTCCCTAAATTCTGGCTATTGGCCGCTGTCAAAGAGAGTGTGTTGGGGCAGACAGACAGACAGAACCAAGCCCACTAACTTGTTTAATGCCTCTTCCTAAACATCTAGCGCTCCACCAAAGCTTTGTACTCAGCGTTTGCAATCCTCAACCTTGCAGGCGAGTACGACGGAGTCCCTAAGCCACGATCCCACGGCGATAAGCCTGTGATAACACGCCCCCCCGTGAGACCTCCAGACCCACCATGCCGGACTCCTGTCCCTCCGAGGCTGGAGCAAAGGCCGGACCTGATAGCGGGAACAGCAGAAGAGATGCCTTCGTCCGTGTGAGTCAGCAGCCCTCGGCGGGCGCGCGGTACCTGGGGTGGGCAGCGTGCGGTACCCGGGGTGGGCAGCTCGGCCACGGGGCTTGGGGAGCGTGTGGGGGGATGAGGTCAGCCTGGGCAGCAGCAGCAGGAGCTGGTGTCACCTACCAGGAATTTTGAAAGAGGAGGAGGAGGAGAAATACCTGGTGGTGTACAATGGCTGGAGCCTGTGGACGCCCCCTTCGACACCGGTGCCAGCACGGGTTTGAACATCACGGTGGAAAGCTGTGCGGAGGGCACGGCCTGGGAGGGGAGCGTGGCCGTAGCAAAGGCGAACACACGCAGGAAAAACACAGCTCTGAACGTGCTCAAGTACAGCCCTGGGGCTGAGCTTCGTCCCATCACCTTCTCTGCAGCTTTTCCTTTCAGCTGCAGAGCCCCTCCTGGCCTGGCTCGGAGCGAGCCTCTCAAGTGAGACGCTTCCTGGGGAAGGACGAGATCCAGCTTGGATCTCTCTTAAGGAAATGGGATGGAGTTCAGCTTCTTCATCAGATTTCTCTTAGATTTTAAAGAGACAGAAACCCTGTTGGCTTCAACAGGAATTAGGAAAAGAAAAAAGTGTGACAAAGTACACGGGGATCTCAGCCCAGCAGCCAGGACCGGTTTGGTGCCGAGGCTGTAACCCGGGTGCTGCCGCGGAGCTCGCTGCTCCTGCCCATCCAGCAGAGATGGGTGTTCGTTCCCCTGCCATCCCAGCAGGCAGCACCCCGAGTCTGAGCTAACACCCCTCACCCGGCGCTCTGCCACTGCGCCGCAGCCCTGGGGTGCGCGGGGGCCGCCCCCCGGGGCCTCACCCTGCCCGCAGTGACACGGGGTGCAAGAGCATTTGTCGTGGCTCAGCTGCA